TATATATATATAATTTTGAGTCATGCTACATCAGTCAGTAAATGAAGGCTCCAAACGTTTTACTTTATAGACATCATTAAGGTCAATTTTACTTTAAGGAGGCAGCTCTTCCTCAGTCATCTTTTGAGTGCTTTCCAACATGATGTGCTCATCTTCCAGCACTATATCTGACAATGTTCCACTGCTATTCATAAGGTTTTTACTGGTCTGTTTTTCAGAAGTAGATTGTGAAATCCTTCTCCCTAATCTGACTTAGTCTGGACGCTCTGCTGAAACCTGTCCACCATAGGTGACCCTATTGATATTTGAAATGCAGGATAGCAATACTCAAGTCACCACAGTATGACAAACTGATAGATGAGCAGTGGAGAGTTTCATTAAGCAATATTAAAACATCTGCAAGTAACAGTTTTGTTGTTGTTAAGTGCTATCATGTTGGTTTTGACTCATAGCCACCCTGATAGGGTTTCTGAGCAGAGCTGGTGGGTTTGAACCATTAAACTTGTAGTTAGTGGTCTAGTGATTATTTTACAGCGCCACACCAGGACTCCAGGTAACCCATACCACTGTGTTGACTAGAAACCTGGGTCAGCTTCTTAGAAGGATTCTATGCGAACCACTATACCACCAACGCAAGTAGCAGTTTATATGGCTATATATACATGGGTGTTTATAGATACAATTATACTTACAGTCTTGCTCTCATCAGACTTTTGGGAAATATTGTCAAAATGATATTACCTTTAATCAAGAGCTAGATCTTCAGAGATGGGACATTTCCACTTGAAAGGATGAGCAGCCCAGCCTTGAGTGGCTAGAAGAACAGAAGATACTTCTTGAAAGGAAGTCTGACAGGAAAAATACAAAACAATAGAGGCAGACCGACTGTTACTACAAGAACAAGCAAGTTGCTTGCCCAGGAGATATCAAGGCAAGTGGTCGGGTCCCTTCAGGGCAAACCCCTTCCAAGACTAAGACTCAATGGGAATACTCGCTCTGATTGGTGACTACGTTTGTCACCGATAAGGGGAAGTGAGTGAAAAACAGCAATGAAGTGGTGAGCTAAGCCCTACAACGTTCAATAGACTCCTGTGAACCCGGGTGGAGACCTGGTTGGCCAGCAGTGTGGCAAGACCTGGGGACTCTTGGGCCCAGAGTCAGTGACATGGCCACAGAAGACTAGAGTGAAGAATGAAGTGTCCAGCTGGTAAGAAGAGAGGGCATATGTCAAGAACACCCACACTTGCAGGTAATACCCACTTGACCTGGCTTCAATGACTGGATGATCAGAGCTCAACTAGAAGAAGAAAGAAGAGGGAAAAAAAAAGAGTAATCTGATACAATTTCATGAACTTGACCTACACATATGGATGCAGGAGCTCAAAAGAGGGAACAAATCCTTACAGCAAGGATCATTCCCTCACTCTCTGTGAGGGCTGGAAATGTAAAGGTAGACATTTTGTAGCAAAAGGAGGGGAGTGGTTGACTTTGCAGTCCAGGAGCTGAGGTCCCTGGGACCATCATGGGAGAAGAGAGGAGTGCGGGACCTTACCCAGAGAAACAGCGACACCATAGATGGAGGCAGAGACGATGGCATGGAGCAATGGAGTGGCTGGGGACTTTAGACCCAGAGAGGGAGAGGGGCTGTGTGCTGACGACCAGGTGGAAGGCTTGCAGGGTATACTCCTTGGTTGGTTGATGATGCATGGAGGGGATTGTAACCATGGCAGTGAAATGATATATGATAGGATGAATGTAAAACTAATGTTCTCCCATGTAAACCATCACATAATTCACAATAAAACATTTAAAAACAAAAAACATGGTGTTTTACCTGGCATTCTGTTATCCTCATTTCAGCTAAGGTACAATTTAATAGATAATGGCAATTTGTGTTCATAATTTGAGGAATTGAAAGATCTGAAAGTGCCCTTTAGGTCTTTAAAGTAAAGCACGATAAAATAATATTAGCTATAGTTAATAAGTAAAAAACTTTGGTATAGTTTGAACAATTTTTTATGGCCCTTTAAGTCATTGAAAATTGAGAAACCATAACCTTTAATTAACCAGGAAAACCCAGGCACTCAACAGACAATTCATGAAAAAGGAAACGTGGCCAGTGCAAAACATTTCCTCTTCTTGTAAACCTTAGACTGAGGGTGTCCCTCACCAATTATATAGTGTCCCTCTGGGCCTCAGAACTTTCCACCAGCGCTAGGTCTCTATGGTGATGCAGCCGGCTGCTGAAGCGGAAACACAGGTGGTGATGAGGCCGTAGGCAGTGGGCACCCATAGGGGAGAAGCGTTGGCTGTGGAAAACCACGCAGGCCCATCTGGAACTTCTGAGGCTGAGGGCAGCCATCTGGACGGGACCCCCCGTGCCCTGGGTGGCCGGTTGCGTGTCCCAGCCGGTCCAGGACAGCAGGCTGCACATTGCCTCCAGGCTGGCGACTCTGATGGCTTTCACCGCAGCGGGGTCAGAAGGCTCCCTCTGGGACCCCACTCCCATTGGTGATTACAATGCACCCTTCCTGTGCCCTCAGAGTCAGTGACTCAGATGAAAGGAGTCCATTCTGTCCACCCCCTGGTCTCATGCAGCCCTTCAGCATTCCCGTTCAAATTACACTCCAGGGCAGCCGGAGGCATCAGGGGAGGTAAGTCACCACCAGAATCTCTCAGTCGTGTGTGCAGCTCTTGAACAAGTGGGTGGAAGAGAAGCGGCCATGTAGGTTTGGGAGCTGAGCTTGTGCACCCTGTCCTTTGAGGGCACCCACTTGCCAGGTCTCCCCAGCAGCGTGGACGCAGTGGGGCCACATCTTTTCTTGTTGACTTCCTTTTCTGGGTGGCAAATTCTTTTTGAATCACCACTGGAGCGCTGGTGGCCCAGTGGTTCAGTCAGCATTTAGAACCTACCAGCTGACCCTCAGAGAAAGCTGTGACAGAGACTCCCCGAAAGATGTACAGCCTTGGAAACCCTGTGGGGTAGTTCTCCTCTGCCCTAGAGGGCCACTAGGAGTTAGAATTGACTTGACAGCAATGGGATTTTAGTTTGTATCTCCAGAACATAGATTATAATCCAGTTTATAGTTGGTGCTCAGTTAAGTATCTCTTGGTTGAATGAAGGAATGAGAAACAGATCACTAGCATCAGGTCTCATTGGTGAAACATACTTTGGTCTTACCCAAGTCTTGTTGTTGTTGTTAAGTGCCATCGAGTCAGTTCCAACCCATAGAGACTCTGTATAAGGTTTCCAAGGAACAGCTGGTGAGCTTGAACCACTGACCTTTGGTTCAAACTAACTTTGCAGGCCAGTACATTAACCCACAGCACCACACCAGGTCTTGGAATTGCCAAGTCTGAATTCAAATCTTAGCTCTACAAGCTGGATGGTTTTGGGCAGGTCACTTAAAATCTCTCTGCCTCTGTTATTCATCTTTGAAATGGGGGTAGTAATAGTTCCTACAAAGCCCTGCATTGCTAACTGCAAGGTGGGCTGTTCAAATCCTCCAGCCACTCCTTGGAAACCCTATACAGGGTTGCTGTGAGTCAAAAACCGACCCGAAGTCACTTAACAACAACAACAAGACTTGGGTAAGATGAAATGAGGTATCAGATATGAAGCACAGTAGCTATCCCGTTATATACTCTACATCATATAACAGTTGTTATTACCCCTTACCGCTATTCAATAAGAGGGAAGTGAAATAGTTAGGTTGTCTTCAGGACCTGTCTTCAGAGGGGCTGAGAGCCCTGAGCGAAGCTTCTCTGAAATTAGCACTCCTTGTACCTGTCTGCACTTGGGGCAGTGATGAACACCATCACTGAGAGAAAAGCAATGACTGAGGGTGTTTGAGGAATGTGGCATTGAAGGGTTACTCTTAAGAGAGGTACATTTCACATTAGAATTCATTCTATCTGGAAACCTGATGTAGGATCAGCACCGGACTGCTAACCACAAGATCAGTGGACCAAACCCTCCAGCTGCTCCTCAGAAACCCTAAACGGGGTTGCTATGAGTCAGAACTGACTTGACTGTGCTTACCAACAACAATCTGGAAACTTAGAAGATTTGTTAGTGGTTCAAGTGGAGCTGGGAGTCAAAGTAGGAACATGAAAGACCTTAAGGGCTATCTCATTACCCACTTCCATTATCCTTGCAGTACTTTTGTGGATGCTGGAGAAACTGCAGGAGGAGAGTGAGATATAGGGGATAGATGGAGGTAGTTTCCTGAGTGGCCCAAATGGTTTGCACTGGATTACTAACTGAAAGGTTGGAAGTTCGAACCTGTCCTTGGGGGGAAAAAAAAGCTTGGCAATCTACTTCCATAAACATTGTAGGCAAGAAAACCCTATGGAGTTCGGTTCTACTTTGTTGTAGCTCATGGAGTCTCAATTAGCCTGAATTGACTTAATGATAACTTTCTTTATTTTTCCTAGGGAGTGAGGGAAAAAGGAGACAGATTAATACCAAAGAGAAACAAAGAGATAGCGGCAAAACGACTTCTCTGCTAGAAAAGGCTTTTGTGAAAAGACAAAGTATGACAAAAGATCACATGACAAACAGACAAGTGAACAAGTTTTAGTGTTCCATTCATAAAACATTGCTGTTGTTAAGTGCCATCCATTCGGTTCTGACTTACAGCGACCCTATCCCATTTTCATTTCTGAAATGCACACTTTGATTATTATTCCATCCTCTTGCCAAACTAGAATGAACCATGTTGACCTAACTCCATCTCATTTGCTGTTTCAAAGAAGTTGTTAAAGAATTTTGCAATTAAAAAGGAGGGGAATGATTGATTTTGCAGTCTAGAAGCTGAGGTCCCTGGGACCATCAAGGGAGAAGAGCGGAGAGCGGGACCCTACCCAGAAAAGCAGTGATGCCTGAGGTGGAGGCAAAGATGATGAAAAGGAGAGATGGAGCGACTAGATACTTTAGACCCAGAGAGGGAGAGGGGCTGTGTGCTGACGACCAAGGGTTAGGATGCAGGGAATACCCTTTGGTTGGTTGATGATGCATGGAGGGGATTGTAACCATAACAATGAAATGATATACGATAGGATGAATGTAAAGCTAATGTTCTCCCATGCAAACTATCACATAATTCACAACAAAACATTAAAAAAAAAATTTTTTTTAATTTTGCAGTTAAAAATAGAAGAGTAAAAATAATGATCAGATTCTCCTCTGCAACAAAAACAAATTACAGGGAAATATTAATTTAGCATGCCAAATGCTTAGGTACACGCGAAGTATGTGTTGGATGAGTTGCAGCATTTTTCCGAGGAATACTTCTTGCACAAGCCAGTGTTGGCAGGAGAGGCTGCTGACTTCTTTGGAGCTCAAACCCAGATGAGCAAGTTCAAGTTCTGAAACAGAGTTGACCTCAGGCTAAGTCAGCTGTTGTTTGAAACAGAGTTGACCTCAGGCTAAGGAACCTGTAGTGATGTGTGGTACAGATCTAGACTCAGGTCTAGTGGGAAAGTCAGTCTAACCTGCAGGAAGAAAGCAGAAAGGATGGCTATTACCCTGACTATGAATAAAACATCTGAAGGTAACACAATGATTAGAATTGGAGAGCTGCATATTGTTGGCAAAAAGGAATGAAAATGCTTTTCACCCATCTCACTGACTAGAGAGCAAATTCGATACTATTTAAGTGTTTTGGAGTCCTTGGATGAAAGGTGCTTATAAGTAACATATATTTAATTACAGTTAAAAATTTAAAAATTCAAAAGATTTACATTAGTGTCATGTAACAAAATGTGCATAAAATGTTGAATGGGAAACTAATTTGCACTGTAAACTTTCACCCAAGCCACAAGAAAATGTTCAAAAATAAATAAAGCATAAGCCTTCTAGAAAGAGGAAGACAGGGAACTGAGAGACAGGTTACATCAAGGATATGAAGAAAGAAAAAAAAAAATCAGTGACTATACTCTATTGTTCTGAGTCCAGCATTCTGTTCAGGACCTCCATACAGCTCTGTGAGAAGCAGACAGCTGGTATTTTTGTGATTCGGCACCCAAACAACCTGCTTAAATGTTCTCTCTCAACCCATCCTTACCCATGTTTTATGTTTCACTGGAGGGAAATGTAGGAAGAATGTGAGGGGCACAGAGTTGGCTACTTGGAGAGATGATGGCATGAAACTCCCCACCATGTAACAGAAGATGATGAGATGGGGAGAGTAATGCCTTAAAGTAAAGTATGTGAAGTCAACCAAGAGCAGAGACAGGGCAGGAAAGAGAGATCTTAGAAGGAGTTCTTGCTTGCCTGGACAGAGAGTGAAAGAGAGGAGAGGAGGGGTAACAGGGAAAATGCTCAGTTGAGGCGAGGGCTGTGAAGGAGAGATGGTTTGAATCTCTTCACCATCTTTTTCTGGGCTTGGCAGTCACCAACTCAAAAGTCAGTCAAACTCCTTCCCAGATTGCATCAACCCCAGCTGAGCCACAGCTGTCCTTGAGAATGTGAGTTGAAGAACTTCTGTCTTGCTGTGGTTGTTATGTGCTGTTGACTTGGTTCTGACTTATAGTGACCCAGATCAGCAGTTTGAATCTACTAGCAGTTCCCTGGGAGAAAGATGAGACTTTCAGCTCCCATAATGATTTACAGGCTTGGAAACCCTATGCAGAGTTGCTTTGAGTCTAAACCAACTTCACAGCCCATAACAGCCACCATCACCACAGAGTTTCCGAGGCTGTAAATCTTTACAGGAACACAAAGTCTCATCTTTCTCCCTCAGAGTGGCTGGTGGGTTTGAACTTTTGACCTTGTGGTTAACTGTTCAGTGCTTATCCTAAAGTGTCATCAGCACTCTGGATCTTGTTTCAAATGCTTTGTTTAAATAAGCCAAGCATATCAAAGAACTTAGTCTCTCAGTTTCTTTAGCTCTCCTGAAGAGAATCTTGACTGTTATACCCTGCATGGAACCCTCACTATATACACAGGACTATGTTAAGCACTGGAGATAGAAAAAGGAATAAGACATGGTGCTTGCTTAACAGCGTTTGATATTTAGTTGTCCATGTGTCATTCACTGCCCATTACTAACATCCATTCTCCTAAGGAAGCAGCTCAGTTCCTCATGTTGTCTTTGTGATGAGGGTCACTCTGTTAAGTGAAAATAACAAAGAGTTCATTACAGAACTGTTTATAGTCTCAGAAAACTAGAAACAACCTAATATTCACCAGTATAGAAGTAGTAAAGGAAATTGTGGCATAGTCAATTGATGAATTGTTTTGCAATAAAATGGTTAGAAAGTATTGCTGTTGAAATAAGAAAGTACTAATTATGTTAAATGCTATTTCTAGAAATTATTTTGGCTTTTTAAAATATTAGGTTAGTCATTGTATTTTAGAGTTTCTTACTCTTTCTTGATAGCTTCAATCCTTTTATTTCCTTAAAAACTCATCTTTTATTCTGTTCAAATTTTTGAAGTGTTCGTGGATCTGATTATGTTGTCTGTTTTTTCTTACTCGGAGGCCATTCATTTCTCTATATGCTTTGTGACTTTTGAATGAGAACACACATTCTTTGGAAGTTTATCTATGGGAATCCTTTGAGGCCTAAGGTGAAGGTGGGTTCCTCCAGAGAAGATAGGTATTTACTTTTGCCAGATGCCAGAGGGCAGGGCATACTTGAAACAACAT